TAATTTAACAGCAAGTCATGTGACCAGAATTTAAAGAAACCATTAATTCAGCAAGAATGTATGATTATACTAATTTAAAATCAAGACATGTAGCTGGCATATAAACAAAATGTTTTAAGTTCCTGTTCAGGATATCAAAAGAGTTTTCTGTTAAGAATTAAAACTAATGTGATTTAGAAAATATTAGTTTACATGGAAATTTCTTCTGTAACTTACTAATCTATGTACAAAGCTGAATTTTAAAGTCAACTTACAGCTTACTATAATGCTAAAAATTTGTTTTAAGTATAAAATATAAATAAATATAAATATAAATATAAAATTGTGATTTTCCAAGAGATTCACTTTACTTTCCTATAGGATTGATTTTTCACAGTTACAAGTTAGCAGTTCCAGAAGATATTAGCTCTGTTCTAACAAGAATGAAAATATGGTGAGGTAAACTTAGCTAAATAATTAGGCAAACTTTATCATACATGATTACATATATGCATAAATGTTTATGTATATATGTATATAAATATACATATTTAGTATATATATGATTTTTGAAAGTTAAGGATTAATTTTACCTTTAAATTTTAAAATATTAAGTACCACATTTGCTGTAATCACTCAAAGGCATTTGATGCTGAAGGTCAATCCCTTTTTACTCATTTGTGGGAACAAAGAAAAACTTTAAAAATCATTTGGGTTCTGACCTAATCAAAACCATGAGTTGTTATTTTTAAAACATGCATTGTTAGGATCCTAATTATCTTATTTGTGTTTGTTTAGATAGATAAACAGATGAAATGTTTCTAATCCAGATGTGACAATCTCAGCACTGTCGTTTACCTTTCAAGGATCATAGAATTTTTGCTTTTAACACATTCCCTTGAGTACCTACATGTTTTCATTATAAACCAGTAGTTGAGAAAACATGTCAGATGCTAAATTCAAAATCCACCATGCAGGATACATGGAGAAATGTAACAACTGTTTTGGGAGAAAATGTCTTGAAGTCAACTTACATAAAATCTTTAAAGGTTTGCCAATGAATTATAATTAGCATTTACATTACAACTGCAAGTGCTAAATAATTTCTGCTTGACTACTATAGGGCTGAAATTATTTTTGTCAAATATTCACAAAAACTTAAGCTTAAATGTCTGTTGTGTAATATAAAAGTTTAGTGTTACAAACACAGAATTTATAATGTCAATTTAAGTTATGAAACAAAAGGAACACATGAGTTTAAACCTTTTAAATAGTATGTTATATGAAACTCATAAAGAACATGTAGCATTCAATGTAATTTCTGATATGAATATCCAATAACTTGTATGTCCAAGTAAACTGAAAACTTAGGAATTCTCCTAGAGGTTCACATTTACTAGACTAAATAAAATGAATGTTTTAGGATGCCTGTGTAAAGGTCAAAATAACTCTAATCATTTCCTCTGTAAACACTTCCTCCTCTTCAATCATTATTCTAAAATATAAAGAAAATTATTTATATAATGCAAACAATATAATCAATGAACTGTTTTATGCAAATATAAATAATGCAAAACAACTGAGCTTTAGGTGCATAACACCTAAAATATTTAGTCATGGTTTTATATGACTACACACATTAATTTATTTCTACTTAATAAAATAATGAAAGTGTGATTTTACTTTCTAAAATGTATGTTTGCAAACATTTTCTCTCACAGAATTGTTCAGTTAAATAGCACGCATTTCCAATTAAAGAACGAGTGTATTTATGAATATTCATTTTTCTACACTTATTTATTTAATAAAGGCTAAAGTTGGTTAGGCTAGAATAGAAACAAAACTTATGTCATTTTGAACTCTATAACCTCTTTTAATTTGCAAACAGGTAATTATATGAAAACTTGTAGAATGCACTAAAAAAGCAGACATTTCACAAAAGAATTATTAATTAGTGCTATAACCACTAAAAACAGAAGCTTGCACATGAATATATAATCATCTAAAGAATGTCGGTCTTTAACGTCACTTAATTACTAAAATGGTCATTTAAGAATATCGTAATGAGTATCACAAACATATCCTTTGATTAAACATTAATAATAAGGGGCAATTTGATTTCTAATAAAATAGCAAAATGTAAGACCAATTTCATATATGCATGTTAATTATAAGAAAATAATTAAAATATTTATGCATACCAAAATATTATCAATGTAATTAAAAATACCCTTAGTGTAAATGAACCCATTAATCTACACAGCCAGTGTAACACATTATTGGTATTATGAAAATGTGAGTGTTGAGTGCTGGTTGCTGTCATTTGTGACTTGTTGGGTAAAGTGTAAAATAAGCAGTTTGAATCGATTCCTTTAACCATGATGAATAAACACCATCATGAAAACATTAAAAATCTGTCTTTTGGAGAGTGCCTAGGAATCCATGTGCAAAACAGATTTGAATATAAGGAATTCTTTCATCAGTAAAGTGGAACCTTAGGAAAAGTCATATTTTGGAGTCATAGCAAAGCTCGCATTGTGTGTAGTTTACTGTCACAGCAACTCTTCATAAAAAAATTCTTAAATCTAAGGTTGTCAATCTGCTGTTTTTTGAGTACTGTAGTCACTTAGAAATAGCAGTTAGCAATGAAAAAACCTCTTAAGAGCATTGACTTTTATACTTTATTCTAACAAAACAATTCACTGTTTACTTATTTTACAGTTAATCTCCATGCAAAATCGGAAAGTATGCTCTCAATAACAACTATAATAAAAGAATGTTGGGATAATGACAGAAGATGATAAAAGCTAGGAAAATGTTCATTTGAGGATATAATCTCTTTCATATGTACAAGCTTCAAGTAGAAATAAAGTAGGATAAATGCTCCACAAAAAGTTACCCAGAGAATTCCTTCAGAACAAAAATTTATCAAAAAGTGGTAGAAAGCCTTCCTAGAGTCCAATCTCTGTTGATAAAGGCTTTCTAATATGAGATAGAGAGCTTTATACAATTATATGCAAATACATTTTGTAGGCAAAAGTTCCTCACCATCTTTAACTAATTGATGAAAAATTAGAGAATAGTCATAAGACAGTTTTGTTGGTGGAAGTGAGGTAAATACAACACTATGTGTTCAGCAAACCCATTATTTTTACTCCTAAACACACAAGTAAATTATATTCTCAAACCTTCCCTGCAATTAGGTTGGGCCTAATGTGACTGACTTCAGGCCAGTGAAATAGGTATTATCGTTCATAATCCTCAACAAGATTACTTTTGTCCCTACCCAATACAGAGTATCCAATGGAGGACTCCAGGGCTCTGGAAGATGGCAGAGCCATTCTTGGGTCCCTGAATGACTGAATGAAACTGTACGAAACAAAAAACCACCCACTCTCTACCTGACCCACACTGAAGTGTGACATAAATGAGTGATAAATCTTGATAGTATTAAGCCACTGAGACTTGAGAAAGTCTAGAATATTATTCATTTTTATCTAGTCCTCAAAATATTATGAATAATAGGAGTTATAGAAGATAAAAATAAAATTTTGTACTTCAGTGGAAAGCAAAAGTGGTAATTGTACAGGGTCTAAATACTGGAGTAGGAATTGTTCTTAGAAACTATATGATCTTAAGTATTTTACAATTGGTCTGTGTCAAAGTCTTGCTTCCCCAGTCATGTGCTGAACCTATGTCATCTTATTATAAGAATATTGTTATTACTCTTAGTGATATATGCTTAAAGCATTAGCTACTATTCATTTGTCACCATACTTTGGGCTGAGTGCTAAGCACTTTATACGAATTATCTCATTTAATTTCAAAGTGACCCTATGAGGGAGTTTTGACAATATACTAATTTTACGAAGGAAACTGCTGTCTGTAAAAGTTAAGATAATCTCACAGCTAATAAGTTGTGAATCCAGTACTCAGAGTCTTTTTAACTCCATGGCCATCCTGTTAATATATAATATTGCATTGAGGGTAATATTTGATCCTAACCAATTATTGCTTGAGCAATTCTAATTTACTTCAATAACTATCCTACCCACAAACAGAATCATATGGTTGTCTGTTCATTTTGAAGGTCATAGGAAAGGCTGACAGGAAGGGTGGACCTTAGTAAATACATTATAATCCTGGGTCTGCTCATCATGGTAGAAATCTTACACCTTGATTTTATCAACATGCCAAAATGTATTCATCTATCAAAGGCAGATGTACAGTAATCACCAAATCAAAACTGTAATGTTTTGACCCAGAAATCAAATTATAACTTCCCTGAAGGCCTGGGACATAATTACTCACCTAAAGGTAACTACTGTCATAAGTAAAATATTTGAAATTCATGTGATTAGTGTGTATTCTGGGAACAGATACTTTGGAAGCCAAATAATGATCTGAATATTGCTTGGAAAAAATAGATTCAAAGTGAAGGTATTTTTGTGGATAGAATGTTTAACAGCATCAAGTTTAAATATCCTGATATCCATTCACAATAAGAATGGCCTTTCATTGGACTGAAGTCTAATGGAATTGAGTCCATTCCCTCATCTCTGAACCATATTTGGATAGACTTTGCCTACATTGCTTCTAACTTTCATCTGCTTTCATGGCTAAAATTCTTTCCATGGATATGTCAATACCTTCAATTAGTTTATGTCAAACCCTGCTGCACAGGAATTTATCTGTTCTTTTAAGGAAACTGTATACACATCCTTGTGCTGGTTGTGTTGTTCTGGAAATTTAACAATCAAAAGGCAATCTCACCTGTGTCCTTTATTTCAAATTTCTTGCTAATACCTCTCTCATTATAATTTATAAGAACAAAAAACAGCGACAAGAATTAAAAGATAATGTTCTATGAAAAATCATGCCTATTTGTGAGAAATGAGTGAGGATGAATAACAGCAGCTCTTCTCTTTTTCTTTCACTTACGGTAGAAACAGTATATCCACAAAATTCAGTTAATCATCTTAACCATCTTGATTGCTGGGGTAGAACTCTCCAAACTCTTCCTACAACAGGCACCATGTTTTTCTTTATGATAGTACCAATCCCCATACTAAGCTAGAACTTTTGCTCTGGAAGGTGTGGCCCCGAATAAATCAATGCTGGCAGATGATGCTATGCCAGATGCACCCTGTGAATGAAAACTAAGCTTGTTCAAGCTTTATGCTGCCACACTCCCGTGCATTTCAAGAGCGAAGTCCAGTGCCACCGTCCTAATGTTCTCTCATCCAACTAGGCAAGTGCCAAGAGGAGGACTTCTCCACAAACAAGTCTGTGGGAGATAGTAAATGCAATAACAAGGCTAATTAACCCACCAGGGTGCTTCAAACTGGAATGATTCAGTCAGACAGAAACAAACAATTTTTATTCCTTTATTATAATTTTTTCTTTATTTGTGGAGCCAGAGTGTGGGAAAATGACCAAAAATTCAGATGTGGGACAGATCTGGATGAACCTAGGAACCTATCTAGTAGTTGGAGTATACAGAGGAGAGGAGTGTTCCAGAAACAAAAATTAAAAAAGAATGCTGAAGCATCATGCACACTTTGGCAATTCACAGACGCCTTTCTGCCTGAATCCAGATACTTTCCTTTGAATTGGATAACTTGTATTTGGAAACTTCTGACTGATAACAGCACACCAATAAATAGATATCCTTTGATTCTAAGTGAACAATCGTGCCATCAACTTGCATTGCACCAGCCAATGAGAAGCCTCTGAAAATAGAAACATGGAAAGGACAAGAAAATAGATGATTAGTACGGAAGAGGCAAAACTTCTTAATAAGAGAGAAATAGACAAAAATAAAAATTAACTTACAAAAGCAAAAACAATTTTAAACTATTAATACTATATTTGCAATTTTTAAAATTGTCGTGGTATTATAGTATATTGTATGCTAAATTTTATTTTTGTTATTAGAACTAATTTAATTCATAATGAAAGGAGGGAAATTCCATTAAAGTAAGCATTGTCTGTGGTGTCATTCTAAAACATTGATAAGATCTGAATATTCAAGCTATTTCAGTAAAGCAAAAAAGAATACATGTGAAAACTTGTTGCATTTCATTGAGCATATGCAAAGTTACCTTCCCCAAAAATGACGAGTAAGGAAATTAAAAGAATTTAAAAGAAAAAATGTTGAGTGACTTTTAAAAAATTATGTTACAGACCCTAAAAGTCAAATTATCTTACTCAGTTCTTTTTTTGGGGTGGGGTTGGGTGGGGTAGTAATTAGATTTATTTATTTATTTTTACTGGAGGGACTGGGGATTGAACCCAGCACCTCCTGAATGTGAGACATGTACTCTACCCCTGAGCTATACCCTCCTCCGTCAATTCAATTTTTAGCTGCAGCATAAAGATAAGACATAGCAGACTAAACTTATCAACTATCATAAAGTTTCATTTAATTCTGCTTCATAACAGTTTCCTATAGTTAACAACAAGCTGAACCATATTAATGAATAGAAATCAGAAGAAACACAAAATTCTAAAAGGAAAAATATATATTCTAAAGAAAAAACTTAAAGAAATATCCAATTAAACACCTGAAATATGAGAGAATTACTGTACTGTCTGGCAGAACTAATGAAAGGGGGAAAAAATCACAGCAGAATTAAAGTTTTACTACATCCTTACTACCACTGAATCATAAGCTTGAGGTGCTTGTCCAAAAGCTGTTTTTTTGGACAATGACTTCTGTGTTGTTGTTTTTTTTTAAACACTACCGCTAAACAGTATATGCATTAAAAATCAATGGGCCATTAAACTTTTCCTAAGACTCTTAAAGATTACTTTCAAGAAACCATCACAATTGTAATAGTGGAGGAAGTTTCCACTGAGAGTAACATTAGCTCTATGTAGTTGTATTCTGAGAGGCAGGATTTGACTTTCAAGTCCTAAAAAGTCATCATCATGAAGCTCTACTTGAGTCATGTAACTGCATATTTGATCCATTTCCTTTTCTAAAAATGGGAAATCAAAAGGAATAAAGTAATAGCCATACTTAATCTTTTCTTTAAATTTATGGGAAACATGGTGCCTACTGTTCATTATTTGAGTGGGACACTTGGTTTGTCTTGTCTACAACAGTTTAGTGGGATAATACACAAACACGAAGGCCCTTTTAAGCTTTTACATTTTTCAGTCCGTAAAAAAAGGCCCCCAGATTTTGTGAATTACCTGTCCTGCTTCACAGGTAGCACCTGTATTACCACAGATCTGTGGAAGCACAATATCAGCCAACTGTTAATCAAGGATCACTTCCCTTCAAAGTGACTGATGATCCACTGTTAAAACAGCTTATAAAAATAACTTCTTCAAAAAGGTGCTTCAGGGTTTTCAGACACATTTCACTGTTCCTGCTAGCTTAATGCATGTTTGAAAGTTAATTTCTCATTAATATTTAAAGAAGAAATGACTTCAGAACAAATTTTAAATGATCCATTACATTTTAGAAATAAAATATTATTGGCATTATTTTCATCTCAATTACAAGGAATAATAATGTCCAAGATTAAGATTAGCTTTTAAAACTGTTAATGAGCCCTGGCAATGTGAAAAAAGATATGGATTAGGTAGATGTAATGAGATATGATTAAAGGGTGCAGGCACTGAAGGGTGTTGGAGAAATTCTTTTCAGAAAGAGTATAATTAGTGTCTGATAAAAGTACTTAGTAGATAAGATTTTTGAAGAAGAAAGGTTAAGATAAACACATGCTTTATGACAAACTTGCTGAATTTTTCCCCTTTGGTTCTCTTACATACTCAATATTGTGTTCAAGTTTCATACATAATGTTTGTCAAATACTTGATGCAATTCTACCAGACAATTAGAGTGTTCTAATTGCCAGACACAGAAAGCAGAAAATGTGTTGAAACATCTTATTCCATTTTCAGTGTACATTTCTTTGTTGATTTATGTAATGTAGCTAATAATATGCAACCTACCCTAGTTTTTAAACAAACAAATGAACTTCTAAAAAGCAAGCTTTCCATAAGTTGCTAAGCAACTCCAAAGGCACATTTTATTAATTTAATAAATAACATTTAGATGACAAATCCTTAAGGATGATTTCTAACTCTACTTTATAAAAAGTAGCAAATCCAAGCAAGTACTTTCTGATTTTCCTATTCCTAAGGCCTCAGGGCCAAGCAGAGACACTGCCATTTTCAGAGGTACATTAGACTCACTAAACAAATAGAGCATTTCTTCAATTGAAATTGTTACTGTAATAGAAGTTAGGTTCTGGGACTCGTTGTGGAGCTCTCCAGACTTAGAGCTCATGCTTCATTCCCACAACTGAAGGTTTCTCAGCTTCAGCACTATTGACAATTCTGGACCGAATAGGATAATTCATTGTTGGTTGGGTGGTGGGGCAGGGTGCTCTCCTGTGAATTGTAAGATGTTTAGTAATATCTATCCCTGCCCTCTACTTACTAGATGCCAGTAGTGGCCACGTAGTTGTTACAAGTAAAAATGTCTCCAGACATTGCCAAATGTGCCTGGTGGAGGAGAGGGGAGGGTATCAAAAATCACACCCACCCAAGAACTACTACAACTGAATAATAGGTAAATATGCTAAATGAAAAAGATATCTTCAGCTTAACTGGTGATGAAGATATCTCGTTCTATACCTAACATCATTCTATACCTAACATCCCCCAGCACTACCAACAATGAAGAATAAAATTATAGTACTTACTCCATTAGCACTGTGGCTCTTGCTCTAATCAAGGCTCATTACTGATTTTATCATTTCAATGTAATTCCCATTGTATAAAAACTGGGAAGAAAGAGCCTAAGGATGGCTCTGTCTTTAGCCACTCTAGTAATATCCCATTTCAAAACTGCACCAAAATCTTTTCTCCTACTCTTTCTCCCTCAATTTTCACTATGCTCAGTTGCTGGCTAGAATCATTTTAAATATAAATCTCAATCTCAATTTTAATCATGCTGTCTTCTGCTTACAGGGCCACCACAGGTCTCTTTCACCTCTACTATCTAATACAAACTCCTCTGCATGGTCTTAAAGTTTTCTACAAATTACCACCAAACTCCATCTCATCAAACATCTTTCTTATTCTTCTTTTATGCCTCCTTTACCGCCTTGAACACAAACAGCTTGCATATTCTAATCTTCCTATGTTGCATATAAAGGACAAATACATTTTCTCCATGAAAGTTTCCCTAATTAATCCTCCCTGTATTTCTTATCAGTATCTTATTTCTGTTAAAAGAATGACCTGACTGCAAATTAATTTGTGAGGCAATTGTTTACTGAGTGTTTTCAATATGCCACACACTGAATATTGCTTAGTAGTGGTTTCTATCAATTTACATTTACATTATTTATGCCCAACTAGATTGTAAGTGCCCAGAGGATAAGAACAGGTCTTATTGTAGCTCTCTTGATCCCTCTTAATAATGATGCTAATAAATACACTTTAAACTTGCTTAACAATTATAACCTTTCAGATTGGTTTCATGTTATCAGCTTATTGATTATATATTTTCACTATTTTACAGTCAGTGAAAGTGGGACAGTAAATGCCCTAGAGACTAGTCTATAGGTTATAAACTGGTGCTCAGTAGAATATGAATTTATGATGTGCTGACTAATTGAATCCAGCCTCACAACTTCCCAACTGTAAAATTTCTCTCCTGTTATATAACGTTCTTACAGCATTTACAAATATATGTTATTGTAAAGAACAAGAACAGGTGAATGATACGCAGGACATAACACAGAAAAGAATTCAAGATTGGCAAGGATTAGACTATAACATAGAAGGAAAGCAAAAGAGGAATCAGTTTCTGCCTCAAACTGGCTACAAAAGATTAACTTCTCAAGGGCTTGATGTATTCCACAGAAAGTAAAATTTTAAACAGAAAGCAAAATAGGAAAAACTACAGAAGGGCTGATAAACCCCCAAATTCTAAAAAATCACATCAATTTACCTCATACATATGAAGAAGTTTCAATAACTCCAAGAGATTTCCTCCCACTGTTTTGGGGAGTCCCTAAAAAAAAAATCAAAATGTCTGTAAAAATCATTTATTTATCACCCTCTCAACTGAATTCAACAAAACACCGAAAGTCAAAAGCCAGTCGATTTCTGAGGATATCTACCAACCCTAAGCACTATGTGCCTAGCAGAGCAGCATCATTAATTCAGTAATTCATTCAACACTTATTGCATGCCTACTAAGTGCAGACACTGGCCTAAGCCCTGCTGGAAAACAGGCCTAAATCTCAGTTGCTGACGTGAGTTTGTGCAGGGATTCACACAGGGAAATGGGGATCTGAAAAGACAAAAAAAAAAAAGTTTTCTCTTCAATGGCCTTTTTTTCTCACCTTCTGGCCTTCCTCCACTCCACTCCCCACCCTCACTCCCACGTGTAAGGAAGTGAAGAAATTAAAGGAGAGTCAAAATGACAAGAAATGAAGGGACAGGTAAAGTTCCCACCAGCTAGGGAGAGATCTCAGTGATATCCCTCAGCCCCTTGACTGGGCGGAAGGGCAGGAGCCCACGGGCCGGAAGTGCTGGGGGAGGGGAGGGTCCGGGCCCCCACGGGGACCGGAAGTGCGGGACCTGGAGTGCGCGGGAGAAATAGGTCTGGGCAGCGTTTGACTCCAGACCTTACGAGGCTTCTCAGGGGGTTCTCTGACCACCCGGCCCCACCACACCATAGCAGACTTTCTGCAAACTAGGCATTTTGGAACTTTTCCGAAGAGGTTCCTAGATGTGGCGGTCACCTTGACGTGAGGTCTGCAGCGAGGGCCCGCGCTCCTCTCCCAGCTTTTTCGCGGGCGAATCTGCGCCCCATACCGGTACGCGGAGGGGAACCGACGCCACGGCCTCGAGTCGCGCGGGCGGGGTGGGGGTGCGGCCCTGCCCGGCATCGGCCGCGCGGCGCCCCTTCCCGAGGGAGGAAGACTGGAGTGGGAGGCGGGGCGGGGTCCCGGCGGACGGGGAGGTAAGAGGCAGGCCCTCCGGGGACGCTGAAAATGTGTGTGAGGACGGGGCTCGTAGCGGGGACTTTGTCCTGGCCGCCCTCCACTAAGGCCCCGGCCGCAGCGGCGGAGCGGGTGGCGGACCTGGCAGAGGACGGCTCCCGCCTCGTCCGATGCCCTGGGGGTCCTTGCGGCGCTCTGCGAGCGGCAGAGGGGCACCTCAGGGCCCTTTTCAAATTAAATTGTTAAGAATGAAGTTGGCTGCAGGGTTTTTATCTGGGGTGTAGAAAGGAAGATAGAAACTCGGAGTCTGGCTCAGTTTGTCTTCCCCTGGCCCCGAATTAATTGTGAATCTCTCGCCTGGCCTGCAAACGCAGGAGCCGGACGAGGGGAGCGCCTCTCTTTTTCCTCTCTCAGTCTCTCTCTCACCAGGGAGCTAGTCGCCCCCGCCCCTACCTTCGCCCCAGACCCTTCATTGGACCGTCTTCGGAGCCCCTTACATATTCCACAAGATACAAAACATCCATAGAGCTCCACTTCACTTGTCCTCAGCACTGGGCTACTTACTTACATCAGACTAGGAGAGCTAGAGGGTTTCTTACTGGTCTTAATAGAATTAAACTTCACCAGCCCCGTGTGTTCCCAAAGGCACGAGAGGGAAAGTGTTTGGACTGGGCGCTGATGGTCAGTGGATCTGCACAACATGGTTTATAACATCACTTTTAAACTTTCCCCAACCTAGTCGTCACTGAGAATTCGGGTGTGAGAGGAAATAGCTCTGGAGATGATTTTTCATCACATTAAGTGTATAACTCCTCCCTACTCTCTACTCTCTTTGAATGTCCAAAGATGGAGTGGAAACTCTAGGTTAATTTTCAAAGGTTAGCGACCCAGAGGAGCCCTAAGTCCACTCCCTGTATTGCCTGCACCCTATCATCCTGGGGATGGGGAGAAACACTGGTACCCGGTGGCTGCAGAACTGAGGACCCTAAAACTTCTGATTGTTGTAAGAGGGAGGAGGGATGGAGGAGAGAAAGGGAAAGGGAAAAAACACACACATTTGTGTTCATTTACACATTTCCTGTGCAGAACAAAAAAGTCCCACCATCAGCAAAAGAAGTCTCTTCCTCCAAAATAGCAGCCAAAGAGGGAAAATTAGAATATGCATAAATTTCTTCATTTTCATTCTCACAGAGCACGATTTCCGGCAGATTTGTATTTAAACTGCTCGATTAATCCCAATTTCTGAACAGCATTTTACTTAGCATATTCCCAAAACTCGCCTAAAGAGTATTGCTTTCCTCCCGCTACACTGTTTTGAAGCCTCCTTCCCAATTCTCCAACTGCCAATGAGAATTTTATTGATAAGACTTGTCAGTTTATTTTTCCTGTCCATTGTCTTCTTTTCAAAGTTGGACTGGAGCATTAGATTGCACTTTAATACAAGCTGACTACTGTCTGTGAAGCCATAACTGCAGATGAGAGCCTAGCGGAAAGGATATGTTTTTGAAATATGCACTTAGAAAATAAACATGATAGGGCAAATAATACTTGCAACTCCTCTCTTGGCATGGGATTATGTCCTTTTCTACACTGGTCACATCCTTTCATCATTAGCAATAGTTAGGATGCTTGGACATGTCCACCCTCTCAAATCTCTCCCCCTCCCCCGTTTTAAAGGCGCATGATAGTCACACAACCCTCTTCAAAGGAGTATTGCTCTTCATAAATATTCAGTCCATTAAATCCCTCTACAGCCCATTTCTAGAATATTTGCTTTGCCACTTGTGCAACAGATCTGGTTATATCTGCCTTGAAAAAATTCTTTGTTGGGAAAAAATGTTAGCATCGTTTGAAACCACTCCTTTTCTGAAATATCATAGCTTGACTTGGGCTTATTTTTCCTATCTTTGAAACTATATATTTCTTTTATTTAATAGTAGCATGTGAATGTTTAAAGAATGAAATTACTACATCTTGGCTTACTGCAAACATATATAAGACCTTAATTCCACTTACTCTTAAATTCCTCACTTTTGTACACCCCAAGACTGGAAGAAACCTACATTTGCTTCATAATACAATCTAAGCAGAATGCAGTGGTTCTGGCTTTCCGTCAGAGTTTACAGATCACAAATAAACAGTTATTGGTAGTTAAAAAGCTAGAAATGCTAATATTTGTTTAGTTCTCAGATTCTATTAAAAGTAAATACATATTTGAAATATATGCAGTATGGTGTATATAATATATATGTGTAAGCATTTTTATATATTGGCTAAAATTTTTTTAAGATATTGGGATATTAATTTTGTTAAATAGGTACACAAACTGAGTGCAGGTGAATGTCTGCACAACTTTCACTACTTTGTGAGATACCTGCTTTTATTGTTTCTTTACTTTCTGTCAAGTATTCTCATTACAAAAGTGTTAACTTAGTTTCCTTTAGGTAAGCATGTTGCCAATAACTCAGAGGTTCTTAGTTATGCACAATTAAAACCAAAGTGTTTGAAAATAAATTCTTAAAAACCATACTGTGGGGGTGTACATAACAGGATTGAGGGCTTCTTTTACTGGTGATGTTGATTTCTTTTAATTTTCTTATCGGAACAATTGATAATTGTCTTTTAATCAAAGGAACAATCCAAACAAAAGACAATAACAATATTTTCCATAAAATATTATTTTAATTAGTATTGGATTTTATATGGAAGGCTCTCGTTTGATTTCAAGTTGCATAGCTGTAATTCCGGAAGAGTTGAAGTGAACTTAGTCATTATTAGTTGTTATTAGTGCACAGAGAAAGCCTGGGGGTACCATTGAAGAGCAGAGCAATATACGGTCTGTGAAAGGTGAAGAGATAGATGCATGGTATGACCAGCAAGGAAATTGTGTCCTTCTTTTCCCTCCCTTTCTTCCTTCAGCTGCTGTTTGGTTTAGTTATGGATTGTGTGTATTTGGTAATATCCAAAGAAAAAAGTTTTCTAGAGGACAAGATGGCTCTTGATAGTTCTGCCTTTCTTTTTGTAGTTGTTTTTTTTTTAACAAGGTGTGCCAAATTTTATTTTCTCACAAATTTTCAGGGAAATAGATTTGCAGGAATAATTTGCAGGAAAATAGAACAAAGCAAAAATATTTAACAGTCACCCTTCCTTGCTCTCAAACTGTCCTTCTATTGCGAAGGTCCTTTTGCGTTTGGTCCTAGTTGCTCTGCTGCGGAGAAATTTCTCTTTCTCTGCTCTCCTCTCCCATTACCGCCCTTCCTCTCCTAACCAGCTTTCTTTTCCCTCCAAAATGAAAGCAGTTACCAAACAACCTGCTTTAACCCCAACAATTGCCTGACAAACACTAAATCTAATTCCTTCCCCACCCACTTTTTATTTTCTTTCAAGTCCTCGTTCTTGGGTGTGGGATGCACAGGGGACTCAGGAGATAGGGAGAACTTTGGGCTCAGAGGAGAGTTAGATTCCTGCAAGTACGGACTCACTGGAAGATCGTTCCCAGCCTAGTCTCAGGAACTGGTGGCTGTTCTTGCACCTAGGAGGATAAACCTTGGCAGGTTCACAGTTAACAAAAACACCCCTCCCTCCTCCTAAGGAGATGGGTTAGCTTTACCAGCTAGATCACCACCAGGTACCAACATCTTTCACCTGGTCTCCTCCCTCCACTTCTTTTCCCTTCACTTTATTGTCCTTTTTCCATCCCTCCATCCCTGAAGGAATCAAAAGAGTTCATCCAGGGGTCCTAATAGAATTCTAAGTTTTATGTCCTGCCAAATGACCTGAGTTCCTTAGGGCCAGTGTTCTCTTTGGATTCACAGGAACCTCAGTTACTTTGCACTTCTCAAATCAGATTTGTGAACATGATTCCCAAATAGGACACCTTGCCCATTCACCAGCTGAGCTCCAGACAGAGGCACCAGATCCTTCTATCTAAGAATCCTTTCACATGTCTGCCAGTCTCCTTCCCAGGTTGATTTTTGGGGAAATGGTGTCCAAGAGGGACATGCCCATAGCATTGAAGAGGAGTGGTCACAAAAGTACTCAACAACATTAAAAAGACCTACCGTATTAGACCAAGGGAGTCTCTATTAGAACACTTGAGTTAGGCCAGAATGGATCATCCATCTAACCAGTGAAACAACAAATCAGAAGAATGTCCAATTGCAGCTGTGAAACACACATTTCAAACTGAAATGGATTCCATCTTCATCCTGTCAGCCAGAGAAATTATTTTAAAATTGTTTCTGCTATTATTATTTGCATTATTATTATTAACATTCTATTTTTGTCCTTATTGCTGCATTTTCTGCTATTTTATTTTTGTTGTTGTTGCAGCTATTATACTACTCAACAGAAGTTTAGAAAGATTAGTCAGATTAATTAGTTTATTGGTAATTTAAAGCTGAAAACTAGTAATTAAGCCAAAAACTAAAAATGATCAGGGATGATTCATACCAATGTAGGATTTGTGAGGAAGAGAATCTAAATTTTGGATATAAAATTTGGCAGCTGTGAAATAAACAGGACTTAAGGATCAGAACTATGATAATTGGAATATACTTAGTCACTCCATCTCTCCCCCAACCCTGCTCCAAATTCAGCTAAGATAGTTCTGTGGTTTGTTTGATAGAGGAGAAAAATTATATTTGTTTTTGTTGAGAAGGAACAAAGACCCCATGCTTGTTCTTCATGTGATTTGCATTTGCACATGAATTGCCTCTGCTTAGGACTATCCACATACCTAAGGTCTCTCCCGTCCAAGTTTGCCTCCTTCATCTGTTTGCTCTTGCTAGGCACCTCACTGAAGAGGGTGCATCATATAAGACAGGTATACAATTTCAGCCCTCTCCACAGACACATTCCATGGAATATAAACTCAATAATGCATTTCTCCCCACAGCAAGCTCTCTGCTCTCTTTCAAATATAATTAATGTTTTGATAGTGTAGTTCTTTAACTGCATATATACACACAAAAACAGACGCACCCTCTAGCTTTGCTGTTTGTGAATCTAAAACAGAAATGGATGCAGCTCTTTCAGTGACTCCTAAAATTCCTCAACTCAGTCAGCCCACAGAGAAGAAAGCTGTTTAGGTAATAACTGCACAGTCTGTTGTGTGTCCAAAAATACTTAAAACAATAAAAAATGCAAGCCCCTAGTTTTTGATAGTCATTTTTGTCAAATTTCCTAGAAATTAAAGGATATTCTGAATTGATATTCTAATACAGACAGTCACCAGATAACAGTCAAAATCAACAAAAACACTGTCCCAAACTACTGGCTGTCTTTTCCAAGTTTTGATGCTGGAAACTGAATTTCAATACCTTCCATTTTTTTTCATTGAGGCTAAATTGACAGAGATGTATGAAAACTAGCAACAATAATAAAACTCCAACGACTTTCATAAGAAATTGCTTACTCCATCAAATACCTCAATTATGTGTCTTAGGTGGGTTAATTCATTTAATTGCAATTGGTTGACATATTCATATGTGAAATAGATGGTCAGAAAGACAGACAGATATGTAGATGACAACATACCCAATAGGAGTTAAGTGAACAAATGCTGAGCTTCCATATTCAGGTATACTATATATCCCTAACATTTCTACAAGCTGACTACAATTATAAGAGGACAAGTGACCTTTTAGATTGTAGGACGTCATTTGCTTTCAGTCTTTAAAGAACAATAATGCAATCTATAATACTTAGTTGTTGAAAATATAAACCTTAATATCCTTATATTGTTATTGAGTTGAAGGAGCTAGTTATTTGGAACTGATACACTGATTTCCAAGCATCTTGGCCATTTTGTTTGATTTGTGAATGTATATGAGGTGCTGGTGAGGGAAACATTTTACACATTTCTCCTCTCCACAGAATTTTTAGAGACGATATGTAAAAGGGATTTATTTTTTTTAATTTTGAGGTTATATTTTCTTACTCATCACGTGGTATTTGATGTTTGGAGTTGTAAAAGTAGGTAAAAGAATGAACGAGGAAAGGAGCACACGTGGCTGATTCCAAGTAAGTAGATCTTCTTTCTAGATGAGAAAGAAACAAAAATATTTCCCCAGTATAGTTGTGAAACAAAGTGGGGAGGAGAGAGTGATTCATGAAGAGTTCACTGTGCTTTTTGTTATTGTTTTAGATGATGGTGGCCCATCAGGGTTCCTTTAACATTACTTTCTTCCAAACTGTTTTCCTTGAAAGTATAAATGTGGGAACTACTTATCCCTTTATTCCTGCACAGGCTAATAGAAACAGCAAATACTTCAGTTAAATTTTCAGTAGAAAAAAGTATTTACAGGTTGGTTATTTTTGTCTTAGTACAGGACCACATCATCAATCCCAGTTGTTTAGATGCAGTTAACTTGATATTTGCCTCTAGTGAGCTTAGATAGATAGCTAGCTATAGATATGATTTTTACAATATTGATCAGCAATGATACGTAAGCTATTAAAAAGATCCTCGGTCAGACTTTTATTATTTGTTCTGATTTCTTCCTCATCTTCCCCTTCTTTCAATTTGTTTTTGAGGCAGTGACACGACTACTTCTCTGATTCTCAAATGAGGTTTTGTTTGGCTCAGATTAATATTAAAGAAGATCACATACACGGTTGGAAAATATTGTTATTTTTCTTTAATGGGGAAAATTGGACTCCCGCGTGTCAGATCTGTGGTTTTCTGAAGGGCAATGGAAATGGTACTGACATCACTTTGCACTTTAACAATCGGATTTGGTCAGGGTACAAGTTGTTTGTTTAACCCGACAGCTCGGTGCACCCCGTCGCACGCTTTGCACACTCATTAAAACGATTATTCACGACCTGTCGAGTGTTTTCGGGTTCATTCACAGGAAAGGCTTGGAGCGAGCAAGAGCAATTCAAGTCAACACTGTCCACTACCCCATGCACGTGAGGACGAGCTGGTGTGTGCGTAAAAAGAGGGAGGGAGGGATGGGTGAGCACGCCTCAGCTCTAAGTCCCGTTCATCTGATGCTCTGGAATCTCAATCTCGAAAAGATGCTGAGAGTGCTTGGTCTTACAGGGCCATATCGCTGTGTTAACTTCAGGGGCTTGGCAAAGGACAGAAAAATAAAATAAACCAAATACATAAACGCAAAGCTCTCTCTCTGCTCCTCCTTTCAACCTTCTTCAAACCTTAAGGTCCCAGGGCTCGCCCACCTTCTGCCTTCAGCCGCCTGACTGAGAGGCTCCACCTCTCACAGCGCTAATGCTGAGGATAAGTAGTTTCAGGAAAACTCTCGCTATGGTGAAGAGAGTAATTCCATCTCCCAAAGCCCTTTCGATCTTGAGAAAGAATTCAGTTATTTTCCCTCTCTGTATTCTTCACAGGTACGTGGTGGGGAGGGCAAAAGCTGAAGGAAAGGACTGTTAACTGTACTTGGTAGATGTATTCCAAATTATTAACAAGGAAAAATTCATCCTCCAAATTGCAAGAAAAGACCTATGAAACAGAATAGCCCTCAATGAATTAGGCCACTTTTTTTTCCTATTTTCTACTCATCTTTCAACATTTTGTAATGACTGTAAGAGAAGGACAGATACAAATGTATCTCAATCTCCCACTATTGCCTTGTACATATAAAAGACACACCCGTGGTCTTTAGTTGTATTTGTTCAAATGAACCCTGATTCACTTGTGAACTATTAGTTTAAGGTGAATGTTTGTCTTCGTAAGGTATAATCGTATACAGTAAATAATAGATATATAATGTCTAGATCCATTTAATATGCACTGAAGAACCCTGGAATATCCTGTTCAGCATAAATACCCCTGCAAAACTTAGTGGTAAAAGATGTTTTAAAACACTGCTATTTCTATATTCAGATCTCGTTGTTCCTTGATTTTTCATCTACAGCATTAGTAAACCCAATGGCCACCTTATTGTCATGAGGGTAAACTAGTCATGTCAATGGAAAAAGACTCTTTCATCAGTTTCACTCTTATCACAGCCAACACCATAAAATCATCTGTTTTCCTATTTGATTAAAACACATCAATACTATGGAGAGAAGAATGGAAGCTTTCGAATAGCTTAAGGTTTTAATCAGAGACAGGATCCTAATTGCTAACAAGCAAGTACGAATAAGTAATTTCATAAACTCTTTGGGTTGCTATAATTCACTACCAAGTTTACTTCAAATTGATCTGTCAAATGTGTTCCCTATATAAGCTCTTTCATTAAAACCAACCTGTGATAATAATCAAGAGAGATGCTGAAATATGTAAGTAAATAACTGAAAGTCTCTGCATAAATACACAAATCAATGCAGTAATAGACAACACTATCGATGCAGGAATGATCGATTTTAGTCTTCCAACCTGCAATCAGAGCTCCTGATGCATAATTAAAAGTGTATTTTTCAACTCCACTACTACTACTACCACTACTACTGGAAATAAATAAATAAACAAGACCTGCTGCCACTTCTACCTGATTCTACTTTATTCCTTCTAGAGTATTTTTGACGGGGTGGGTGGAGTACTCTACTTTTTCTAAGAAAGCTTTGCCGAACTTAAAACTACATTAATTACAAAAATTATAAAAGTATCAAATAATAAAGTTACCACCTTATTCATGTTCTGAATTTTCAACCTTCATCATAGCCTCTAATTATTCATTCAGCATATTTTAATGGGAAAAACACGTGGAGTGCTCATTACTTTTAAAGATTTTTTTCAACTACTGTAGTACCTTTGGCTTTAAAGATCCTTTGGGCCTTTTGTTAAAACAAATGAGGGGGAAAATGTCATTTTCTCAATATACCCTGGAAGCTCTCATGCCTATGCCTGCATATGCAAGCAGTCTGAAACAAGGAAGGGGGGAAAAGCATCTGCGTTCTTCCAAAATTGTTTCATATAGTGATTGCAAAAACAAACAAGTGTCTGACTCAAAGAAATAAATACACTTTGAATTTCTAGAAATTCACATCTACAACATTTCAGAATTTGCTTAAAGTTAAATTTCCTTTTTGAGAATATTTATCCCTGGAGGGCAGAATTAATTTAGATTAGCAAGCACCGGTGTATGATGAGTTTGGGTATTTAGGTTTTGTAGAGTATTGAGAATATGATGTTCATATTTTTTTCTTAATCAACAAAGATGCTTATTTACATTCATCTTTGAATTAGTGTGGTCCTTCTGAAGCACAGGCCTTTAAAAATGTCTTATTTATGAAATTCAGCTTCTTTGAAAATGATTTTTTTCATACAGAATATCACCAGCACGTAAATATCAATTTTGATTATCTTTATATTATTATGTGACCAATTTTGGTATCTGTGTATTATTATTTGATTCCCCTCCTTTCCATCGAAGGAAAAGAATTCAGGGGCAACGGAACCCGAAAGGAAAATACCATCAGTTATTGTTTAGGGCTAATTTAACAGATAATTTAACTTCAAACAACAATGATCAGATCATTAAATTTCAGAGCAGTGAGAAAATGAAAGAACTGAGAGAGAATTCTCCCTAACTCCACTACAGTTTTTAGTCTTCCTGCTCAATCAACATAATCAACGCCTTGCCATACAGACGTGGAGCAAGATAGGTTTGCATTCTGATTCAAAGGATGGGACAGTAAGAGGAAAAGAAAAGGGGGAAAAAACTGAAGACACCATCTCAATTCTGGGAGTGCTGGCCGCGGATGAAAATTCAACCTTTATCGAAAATGAATACCCCAAACATGTCTAGCAACTGAACACTCTTTCATTCGGACACTAATCTCCAAATCTTGCAATGTGCAATGTGCTTTCCTACTGCACAGATTTTCCACAAGACTCAAGACACGACAGACCATGAAAAGGACATGGGACATCTTATCTCCCCTTCTACCCTCATAAGCATAATTCTGAGAGTTATTTGCTATCTTAAATGACTTTTTGATCAGAACAAATCTGGGATTTCTGCCTACCTCAAGTTTTGATAGAGGGCCAGGTGAGGATGGTGTTGAAGCATGGAAATTGGGTTTTATGGAGGATGGGGAGGGGGACATTCAGAAGTGGAAGAGCTGTATTCTGCGTGGTCCTTTACTTCCTGTCGTCTTTCCAAGGCTGAAGTTCACTGCCTGAGAATCCCCCACTCAGGCAGGATGCTCTGCCCACCTAACCCTCTGCCTCCGTCTCCCCAATCCAGGACTGTCTTTACTGCTAAGGGAATTACTACCCCAAGGCTACTTATCTTCCCATAAGAATCCTTTGCTTTGGACCACAGGCTTGGGCAAAAAAGAAACAGGGGGATAAAAAGCGAAATAGAAGAGAAGTAGAGAGTGGAAAGGAGAAAAGATGTCTACCACAGAGAAAACAGTTTTATCAACCAGCAGATAAGTGCTGAGATCTGAAACTGCACCAGGTAAACAAAAAGACACAACTTTCGGGGGGTGGGGGGAAGGGGCGTGTAGAACACAGAAGAATAAGAAGAAAGGAAAAAGGTGGCGAAGCGAGCCAGCCAGGGTTCTGGAGTCAATTTTCCTGGCATCAGCCAGTGTGAGCTACACAGCTCTAAGCTCGGCTTGTCCTGGACTAGAGCGCCCTCACCTTGCTGCTCCCTGCGCAGCGCCCGGCTTCCCCGCCGCCGCATCCCGGCAGCGCCTCCAGCCCGGCCACCGCACCGCCCTCACTGCCGCGATGCAGCAGCCTAAGCCACGTTTCTACGATCCCGAAATGCGAGGAAACAACCCTGCTGGGTCCCTGCCGCGATGACTTCAAGTCCCGCCATCGTGCCCCTCTCGGACTTCAGCCTGGAGTCCCTGAGGCGCCGGGAAGCCTAATGGAAAACTGCGGAGAGGGCCCAAACTCGCTTCGGGACGAGACAACCTGAGTCTGGCGCGCTCTCCGCCACTCTCGGGACAGCCAGGCTCTCGAGCTTACACGGCCGTCTCCTAAGTGCGCATAAAGAATCAATTATTTGCCTGAGATTCCCAAAGCCGAGAACTGGGATATTCCCCGTAGGGACAAAGTCAAGCCAAGCACCGTGCTCATTTCCCTATTCCTTTGAATAGAGGAAGGAGAGCCTCCCATCCCCGATCCGTGCCGCACTCTACCCGGAGCAGTGCCGCTAAATCCGGGAGGGACCCTGGCCCAACCCTGGCCAAGGAGCTGGGGACGGAGGGCCAGCTCTGGGGGAAGTTGGCAACGTTCGTGTGAAAATAGGGGGTGGAGGGGCGTCTCATGAAAGAAAGGAAGAAAGAAAGAAAGAAAAAAGAAAGAAAAGAAAACTTTAGACTGAGGCAAGTCCTTGGCTCTGGAGCAAAAACCTTTGTGTCAAATAGGGGGAGCAAATACCTACGGGTTTGAACTTTAAGTCCCGTTAGTGTATTCCCGCAGCTTCCGTAAGACTCGGAAATCATATTTCCACGAAATGAATTACTTTGCACTCTGGGACCTATTTCAGTCCACCACTAACCCTGCTCCATATAAATTCGTCTCCTTCGCCCCTCCATCTCCTTTTGCCATGTCTACATCCCCGTTATTTAGGGATCCACCATGACTTCTGCTGCCGTGGGGGGGAAATCACGCATTCTTTCAGCTACTTCTACTGATAGCGCGCCCTTTAAGAAAATTTTTCCAAAAAAGAGAGAGAGAGAGAGAGGAGTACTTCAGTCCTGACCTCAAAGTCGAGGTTTACACCTTAGTCAAAAGCAGTCTATCGGGCATAGACACCCTCCCCTCCGTAAAGCACTTTCACTTACCGATTTTGGGGTAAGAGCGCTCCCAGTCCTTAAATCTTTTTCCTCGGCATCCTTTGGACAACCTCAGGCAGTCTTGGATGGAGGGGAGAAACAAAAAGATAGAAATCGGAAGGCAGAAAGACTCAAAACGCAATACTACATCATATATTCCCCGATATTTCCCGGAGCCACCTTGGCCTACATCCTCAGGAAAGGTCCCGGGGGAGTGACCGCTAGAGTAGGGAAGAGGTCGGTATGGGGGCCGAAAACTAAGAGGTGGATTATTTTAACTGCTGGTAGGTGGGGGGAGGGGAGGCCCAAAAGGGAGGATAAGGAACGGAGAATTGTTGGGATGAGAAAAGAAAGCCTTAAAAAAAAAAAAAACGCGCGCAAAAGAAAATCAAGAATGAAGTACTGTGAAAGATAGCGCCTTTGAACTCTTACAGGTTGCTAGCTCTTAGGAAGAATGCAGGCGTGTGTATGCGCAAAAGGAGAATCTAGATGACTCCTATTTCCATATCTCCAGGATCTGGCCTCAAGTAGAAAAAAGAAAGAGGGGAGAATTTTAATTCCAGTTTCACCTACCTGGCTTGTTGGAATAGCTGCGCAGATTTTCATGTTGGAGAGTTCCATCTGTCTGGCAGAAGCTGAAGTAGTGTTGGGGGCAGGTTATCTGGTGAAGTAGGAATGTACAGGAACCCCGCCCTCTAGGCACAGTTACACAACCCCAGCAACCCGTCTCAGCCAGCTCTAAAAACTCTAATGGTCTTCACCTTCACCCTTTGTTAGCCCATTTCCCAAACAGGCATTTAGTCCTAAACACAACCAGCCACTTTAGCTATTCATAAAATTAATTTCTCAAAAGCAAAATTATTTCCATGCATGCAAATTTCAACAATGTTGTAGAAAACACGCTTAAAAAACACATTTATATATTCAGAGTTCTAAATATCTTGGATTTATCCACCTATTTGGGTGAAATATCCACCAACTTATATATAATTAAATCAATACACTACAACTCTCATTTTTTTTTCTCTCTACCCCTCGATTTTATGCAAGTCATAGAAACCACATGAAATCTTCCACGACCATAAATACATCTGTATTACATCTTATTAGCTCTGGGCTTCATGTTCACTTGATTTCCAATTTTAAAACAAGTTGAAGAGACATATTTGGAAGAATCCTTCCATTGCTCTAGTTTAACTAAATCATTTTCTCAGTGTTTTATATATTAATAATTTGTATTAACTTGTACCAGACAAATTCAAATATTTGAAATCAGGATATAAACTGTAATTTGGGATTTCAAGTTTTAAGTTGTGATCACTTTCATTTCCAAAAATCTCAGAAAGAGCAACCTTCATCTCAATAAAAACAATTTTAAGTATGAAAGAAGAAAAGCTTCAAAAAGTTTCAACGTGTTATTCTGGCATAAGTTAATTTTAACTAGCAAAGGTAGGGGACAACAAATACCAACACAACATTATAACCAATTCCTTGCAAAAAATCTATTAAATGCTAGATTGCTGTGTGATTTTGACGAAGATAACTTGATGGATAACAGGACAGATTGAGATAAATGAAATGTTCACGTTGGGCTTCAGGAAACCTTCACAAAGTTCTTTCTCTGTGTATACCCTCCTTCGTATCTAGTATGCCTATTAAACAAGCCATTCTTACTTCTAATCACATCCATTATATTTGTAACTTGGACATGTATCCCAGTAGAACTTTTCCTCTCAGTCCTTAGTTCCTAATGAATTCAAAGAAGTCAATTTTACTCTTGACCTCAAAGTATTAACTTTGCCATTGAAATTCTACTTTTCCATCATGCAAATAAACAATCACAAATAAGTATAGTTATTTAATATGGCCAGAAAAAATACTAATGGGGGAAATCTTTCTTCTATAAATATGTCCCTTTACCTCAATATAAGTCCAACCCTCTTTTTAACTTTTGATATTTCTTCAGTCCCAGTACAATCTCATTCTACAAATAAAATCCATGGTAAAAAGCAAACAATACATCATCACCTTTTTCAGTCTAAACACATGCTTTTCCTTGAGCTGTTTTGGTTCACAAATGTGTAATGGGGATTTCCTTTGCCTAACCTCATTTATTTGGACTCCTTTGCTATTTTAAATATCAGCCATATATTTGGCTTCTAAAACGATTTAATTATTTGTGGAATTTTCTTTCATGCTTCACCCTAAAGAACTGTTAAGTTTCAAGAAACTAGGACCTCTAGTGAAACTGCTCTGAGACTGAGAAGATAAAATCATGTCCAGTCTGCTTAAAGGACATAATTAAACTAGCTGTCTTGGTCTATTTTGGTCCATTTCCCATTTGTGTATATTTGGTTCCAGCTCTTTTAATTTTTCTGGCCCTTATCTTTCTTTCTTAGGCCTCTCTCTCTCTCTCATTCATTCATTCTTTCTTTTTGGTAGTGGGGATTTTTTCTTTCTTTTTTTAGCTTCAAGATTCTCTTTCCCTTTCCTCTCTCTAGCTCTTTCTTCCTCTATCTCTCCATTCCACAGCCCATCCATCCCCATGTTCCAATACCTCCAATATTAACTATTCTGTATTTCTATTTCAAATCTGTTTGAGTCAGCCTGTTTCTCTCCTAGGCCTTTTCTTTTTTTCTTTTTTCTTTTCCCCTGCACAACTCTCTAAGTGTTTGCCGATAACATCTTGGGGACAGATTATTTTTCATTGGGCCCATTGTAAGAGGTAGCCAGCTTATTGCATTACTGCAGAACACATTTCAGACTATACAATTGTAACAAATGAACAACTTGTCCTCCACGGACTCACCACAGGATCCAATTAGTTACTAAACCTTTTAGTTAGGTTTCCTAATTATTTTCTGGAGTCATAGCAATTGGGTTGCTGAAACAATTCAAAAAATGTTTTCATTTTGTTTCAGATTTATATGTATGCATATGTATGCATGCATATGTATACTGCAAGTTGAAACAAAAGTATGACTGTAAGCAAAAGGACAATCTCTAGATATAATTAAACAGACATATTTAAAAGGGAATCAAACAAATACCTCTATGTTGTAAAAATGAAAGAAGGAGAGAGAGGCATTTCACTTCTTCTGAACATCTAGAATTTTAAATTGTTATAATTTTAAAATAAAATATAAACATTGATCTGCAAGTCATTACAACAGGTGATCACTTCAGCAAAATCTATATTGCAACTTCAGCACATCTTTATTAGAACTCTTTCATTGTGGGTAAACAGCCACAAAAATAAATGCTGACTTAGAAAGTATAAATACAAATATTTAAACAAAAATATTTGCAGCATTCATAGCGCAAATTGTACCTGAACTGAAGGGCTCCGTGTGTCTATATATATTACATATGTGTGCATTATATTCACTTCTATCTAACCATATACATAGATTTATTTATAATTTGCCAAGTGCTATAAACAAGATACCTGAAACAAAATATATAAAAAGCATTCTATTAACTGATTTGAAAATAAACACAAGGTAAATAGCTATGCACATAAAATTAAATAATCTCTTTTCGCTGTTTATCTACAGAAACTTAAAGGTATCAGCTGAAAAGCCTATACTTTGTTTAAAGCTAGCGTTTATTACATAGTCTGCTCCTTGTAAAATTGGACTCCACAATGGAAAAAATACTATTTTCAAAGTCTTAGTTCAAATAAAAGGAGCAGTTTAAATTTTAGTTGGCTGAAAAAGCCTTTAAATTTCCTAGAACTTGAATTGTCTTTCAAAAATTAGCTCTACTTAATAAAAGAGACAAAAGTATCAAGATATATATGAATTTAGCCTATTTTTTTATTTCTGTGTGTTCATAGTAAACATTTTTGTAAGTGACAAACACGGGCATATGACCACAGTATCACAATCAAGAAATTTTAAGACAACATTAACAATCACTCAAATTTATGCGGCATTTGCGCAACACAGGTTACATATTTGCAAGGTTTACCTATAAGTACAATAGGTATTAACATTTCACTACATTTAGAAAAAATAAAAGTGACCTGTTAGTGACCACGTACATCAAAATATACACAACACAAACTGAAGGCAATCATTAATTTTGTCCCCTTCCGATTCATTTGAATGGGCAGTGCTGCCAACTGAAACAACTTTCCTTTTTTTGTTTTTTAATACTTATTATACCAAGTGCATTTTCTAGAACCCAATCTTTGGTCTAAAAGTAAACAAAAGAAAAAACATTTTTTTTAAAGAAAAGGACAAAACAATAAATGGCCAAAATAATTTCTTGGGCACCTTTACTACGTGAATGCTTCTTAAATACAAATTACAGTTTAACATTTTAAAACTTTCCCCATAATTTAGGTTGTTCTCAAGGTCTGCGTCCACCATATAGATCCATGATAATTTATAATACTGCACACATGGAAATCTGGCGGCTCTTAAGGATAGACTTGTCAGGTTTGAATGAAATGGCAAAGCAGTCACTATTTAGATACACATCCTACGATAATTTTGACTTCCAAACCTTATATTCTACAATGTATTCTCCCCACATTGCACCTCGCTGACACTCCACACCTTGTTAGAATAATAAACAACCCTAAAGACTGAACAAACGTACAGAAATGGGGGCGGGGGCTTAATAAAAAATACCTGGACTTATTTTTTAATTATCATTTACAATGCAAATGTGTGTAAAACGTTCACTTACAGTCTGGTCCCAGGGATGTTAATGTATTAAAGGGTTGGAAGAAGACCCCTGATTTTGATGTGTGAAATAATCAGACAGTCCCCCGGACAGTCCCGTCGTGAAACTTGGCAAAGAGGGTCTTAAAGACTCACAGGGCAGGGTCGAGGGGGCCTGCGGCGACGTGGAGGAGGACGCGGCCCGGGCGCTCATGGACGTGCTGCTCTGCGAAGTCATTGACGGGTGCGGGACGTGGGGGAAAAAGTAACTGGTCTGGCCCGCGAGCAGGTTGACCGAGCAGGGGTTGAGGGAGTAGGTCCCGGAGCAGGGCACCGACAGGCCGCAGGGCACCGAGGCGGCGAGCGCGGCGGCGGTGAGGTGGTGCGTGGCGTACGGGATCTCCCCGTTGACCAGCCGATCCACGCTGAGGCCGTTGGCCGTGGAGAAGGAGTGGTTGTTGCCCAACGAGTTCTGAGTCAACACGGAGCTGTAGGGCATGGGGTGGCTGGGGTAGGCCGACGTGGTGCCGTTGTAACTCAAAGTGCTGCTGGCGCGGGGGTGGTGCAGGGATAGGAAGGGTGACATGGGCCAGTAGAGGGAGCCGGCGCGGTCCATGAAGGTGAGGCCGGTGGAGGTGAGGCGCGCCCCGCGCTTGAAGGCCAGCTTGGCCCGCGACGTGGTGGAGCGGCGCCGTAGCTTGCCCGTGGTGCCGCCGATGAACACGTCGTCGCTCGACGGGTCCAGCATCCAGTAGTTGCCCTTGCCCGGGTCGTCGTAGTGGCGCGGCACCTTCACGAAGCACTTGTTGAGGGACAGGTTGTGGCGGATGGAGTTCTGCCAGCCCTGCTTGTTCTCGCGGTAGTAGGGGAAGTTCTTCATGATGAACTCGTAGATGCCATTGAGCGTGAGCCGCTTCTCCGGGCTCTGCCGGATGGCCATCATGATGAGCGCGTTGTAGCTGAACGGCGGCTTCTCGTACTTGCCGTTCTTTTTCTCGCCCTCCTTGCCCCCCTCCCCGTCCTTGCCGCCCTCGCCCGCCCCCTTCTTCTCCTCCCCCCCGGCGCCCTTCTCTTTCTCGTCCGGCCCGAC